GGGAAAAGAGCCGATGGGGGATGACCATGTGGAGGTCCAGGATGTTTCTGAAGAAGAAGAAGAGGATCAAGTTGACCACCTGCCTGCCTTCCAAGAGGGTCTAAGAGATGGAGAGAGGCCTTGGGCTCAAGGGAGAGCCAATCCAGTAGGCAGGAACCAGCACTACAACCAGGGTGGTGATCCAATGTCAAGGTACAAACAAGAATTCCCTGTGTTTGATTATGAACACCCCAGGCTGTGGGTGATTAGATGTGAGAGATTCCTTATGCTTGCTAGAATCCCTAGAGATGAAGTGATGCATATCCTTTGTGTGAACCTAACTGGTAAAGTGGGAGTTTGGTATGAGGGATATCTGAATGGGTTAAGAAGAGGGTTCCAGTGGGCTGAATTTGCCAGAGCTGTGTGTAAGAGGTTCTGTGAGAACCATGTGGATGTGATGGAGGAGTTTGCTAGCTTAAAACAGTGGGTTAGTGTAGTGGATTATGCTGATAAGTTTGAGGAGTATAAGGGTTTGCTTCTCCAAATCTATCCCTATTTGACTGACCAGTACTTCTTGGACAATTTTATTGTGAGACTAAAACAGCAACTCAGGTGTTTTGTGAGGACATCTAGGCCCTTGAGTCTAGATGATGCAATTTGGATAGCTAGACAATATGAAAAGGGGCTTAAAGTGAATGAATTCCAGAAGAATACCTCCCAGAAATCTTTCAACACTACCCAAAGAACCTTTCAAAGCCCAAGAACCTACCCTGCTAGGAACTCTGAGCCACAAAAACCCCAAACCAACCCAAACTACCCTAAAACCACATCCTCTAATACATTCCAGTCCACTGCCAGATCACCTGAAATCAGTAAATTTAAATACCAGCTCAAGGAGAAAAATAGGTGTTTTAAGTGTTTTGAGTCATGGAGCCCTGGACATAAATGTAAGAGCCCCACTTTCAACATAATTGAAGGGACTGATTTCCAGGAAAATGAAGTGGAAGTCAGTGGGGAACAATCTGTGGAAGAAGAGAACTTAAACATGCCAGATCCAGAAGAAGTAGAGGTGACCTTAAGTGCTGTGATTGGTGGTGAAGGCATGAACACCATCAAACTACTTGGGGCCATTGGCAAACAGCCAATTACTATACTGGTGGATAGTGGGAGTACCCACAGTTTCATAGATCCAAGAGTTTTGGTTCAGTTAAGGATCAAGCCAGAAAAGGCAAGGGCCCTTCAAGTTACAGTAGCCAATGGGGAAGTATGGAGTGTGATTCTGTCTGTGGTGGGATGAGCTGGCAAATCCAAGGTGAAGTGTTTAGGAAGGATTTGAGGGTACTTAAGCTTGGTGGATGTGATGTGGTTCTAGGTATGGACTGGATTAACTCCTATGCTCCAATCCAACTCCATACTAGACCCTTGGGAATTTCCTTTCACAAAGATGGGAAGAAGGTGATGTTAAGAGGAATGACTAGGGAGATTGCCTTACAACAAGCTACAAAAAAAGAGGTGAGAAGGTGGAAGAAAGAGGGAGTGCAAGGTTATTGGTTACAAAGTATTTCCCTTGAGAATCCAGCAATTGCAAGCATCCCTGAGTTGTCTGAAATCCTAGCAGAATTCCAGGAATTGTTTGAAGAGCCCAAAACACTTCCTCCTAAGAGAGCCTTGGATCATGAGATTCCCTTGTTGCCAGGGGCAAGACCAATCACTTCCAAACCCTACAGATACTCCTTTCTACAGAAGAATACCATTGAGAAAATGGTAGAAGAGATGTTAGCAGCAGGGATCATATCTCCTAGTACCTCACCTTTTGCATCCCCAGTATTGTTAGTTCCCAAAAAGGACAATACTTGGAGGTTTCGCATAGATTACAGGGCCTTGAACAGCATAACAATCAAGAATAAGTTTCCCATCCCATTGATTGAAGATCTATTTTCTGAAATAGCTCATGCCAAGGTTTTCACTAAGTTAGACTTAAGGGCTGGATACCATCAAATCAGGATGAAGGAGGGTGAAGAGTATAAAACAGCATTCAGAACACATCAGGGCCTGTATGAATTTAAGGTTATGCCCTTTGGATTGACAAATGCCCCGGCTACATTTCAAGAACTGATGAATCAAGTATTCAAGCCATTAATCAGAAAAACAGTCCTTGTGTTCTTTGATGATATACTGGTCTATAGTCCTACTATGGAGGAGCACTGGAAGCATCTTAAGGAGGTTTTGGGAATCAGGAGGGGCCATAGACTTCTAGCCAAGCTCAGTAAATGTTCTTTTGCTAAGAGGGAGGTGGAGTACTTAGGCCATATCATCTCTGAAAAGGGGTTGCATACTGACCCTGCTAAGCTATCTGTTGTGGCATCTTGGCCTAGACCAGCTAACCTGAAGGAGTTAAGAGGGTTTTTGGGTCTCACAGGCTACTATAGAAGGTTTATCAGATCTTATGGCATTCTCAGCAGGCCACTCACTAACATGTTAAAGAAAGATGCATTCCAGTGGTGTGAGGAGTCTGAAACTACCTTGAAGTTCTCAAACAAACCTTGTGTAGTGCACCAGTTCTGACCTTGCCTAACTTTGATAAAGAGTTTGTAGTTGAAGCTGATGCCTGCTATAAGGGTATGGGGGCAGTCTTAATGCAAGAAGGGAAGCCAATAGCCTATTTTAGCAAGGGGTTTGGAGCCAAACACTTGGGATTGTCCATCTATGAAAAAGAGTATCTCTCCATCATAAATGCAGTGGACAAATGGAGATCTTACTTGATAGGGAGGCCATTCATTATCAAAACAGATCACCAAAGTCTAAAGTTTCTTTTAGAGCAGAAGATCACCACAACTATGCAACAGAAAGGGCTCACCAAATTATTGGGACTTAATTATACAATTCAGTACAAGAAAGGAGTTGACAACTATGTTGCTGATGCACTGTCTAGAAAGAGGGAAGTTAACCAAGCTGAACACTTAGCCATCTCAACTGTGAGACCACTATGGATAGAGGAAGTTATAAGGAGTTATGAAGGGGATGATTTAGCTTCCAAGGTTCTCACTGAGCAACTGATTGCAGCAGAAGGAACATCAGGGTTTACTGTGGTTGATGGACTAATTAGATACAAAGGAAGATTGTACATTGGACAAGAGGGAGATCTAAGAAACATATTGGTGTTGCAGTTGCACAACTCTCCCATAGGAGGGCACTCAGGGCAACAAGTGACCTACCACATGCTTAAACAAATGTTCTACTGGAAAGGAATGAAAGGTGAAGTGATAGCAACTATCCAAGCCTATGATGTCTGTCAGAAGTGCAAAGATGATAATGTGGCCTATCCTGGGTTGCTACAGCCCTTAAAAATCCCAGAACAAGCCTGGCAGAGTGTCTCAATGGACTTCATTGAGGGGTTGCCTATATCACAAGGAAAGGAGGTCATCATGGTGATAGTGGACAGGTTTACCAAGTACAGTCACTTCTTGGCCTTGTCTCATCCATATACTGCTGAGAAGGTAGCTGATTTGTTTATGGAGCATGGTTATAAACTCCATGGACTCCCAAAGGATATTGTGAGTGATCGAGACTAGGTATTTGTGAGCAAGTTTTGGAAGAAACTATTCAGCCAATTGCAGGTGAGCCTAAGCATGTCCTCAGCATACCACCCTCAATCAGATGGGCAGACAGAGAGGGTTAACAGATGCTTGGAAACTTATTTGAGGTGTATGGTTTTTCACAAGCCTAAGTCATGGGTCAGGTGGCTACACTTAGCTGAGCACTGGTACAACACCAACTACCATACATCTTTGCAATGCACTCCCTTCCAAGCCCTTTATGGCTATCTACCACCATCTCTGACTTTTGACTTGGTTACAGAAGGAGAAGGCAGTGACTGGTTTAAAGAAAGAGCTTCTATGATAGCCATTCTTAAAGAAAATTTGCAGAGGGCTCAATCTAGGATGAAACAGCAAGCAGACAAGCACAGAAGTGAGAGGAATTTTGCAGTAGGGGATTTTGTGTACCTCAAAATACAACCCTACAAACAGACATCCCTAGTTGTTAGGTCCAGCATTAAACTCACTGCAAGGTTTTATGGTCCTTTCAGAGTTAAGGAAAGAATTGGAGAAGTAGCTTATAGACTGGAGCTGCCTACTGATGCATCTATCCATCCAGTGTTCCATGTGTCTCAGTTAAAGAAGAGGTTGGAGAAGGAATGACTCCACAGCCCACCCTACCACTCACTGATTCTGAAGGTATGGTGTTGGCTCAACCATTGGCAGCTATAGGGAAAAGGCTAGTCAAAAAGAACAACAAGGCTGAGGTGGAAATCTTGGTCCAATGGACAAATTTGCCTAAAGAAGCAGCCACATGGGAAAATTTCCATCATATCACAAGGCAATTCCCACAATTTGATCCTTGGGGACAAGGATCCCCTGAAGGAGAGGGTAAATGTCACAATCGTGGAAGGAAAACCGGAAGAAGGAGTTCAGGCTGAATGTTCAGAGCAGGTGGATGGGCTAAGGGCAATGGGCCGATGAGAAAAGACGAAGGACTGAAACGACATCGCTTGAGTGTGGGCAGTTAAATTAGCCGTTATAACTAATTGAAACGGTGTCGTACGTAGGAAAGGCTAAGAGCCGTTATGTTTGAAGTAAAACGGTGTCGTTGCGAGGGAAGATGGCACTCCACAGCCTGGTCGAAGAAGATAAGGAGCTGAGAATCCGGAGGGGGTTATGGAGTTTTGGAAGCATTAGCTAGCTCTGTTTTATGTATTTGTTTTTTGCAAAAGTATTTTCATTCATGTATTAGCTGAAGAACACTCAACCCTAATTTCCTTCCAATTTCTCTCAAATTTTATCATCCTTTCTTCTGCAATTTCCCACCTATTTCTGCTATTACCTGTGTTGAATTTCCCAGGTTGTGACACATTTTTTGTCGAGAGATTGTTAAATTAATAAACAAAAACATTTTTTTGTTCTATTAAACACAATTCCCAACGTTTGATTCAAATTTACAAATCAAATGGCTTCATCAGCTTCATGAAATGCAAATATACAAGCTGTATGTCTTTAATTATATTAATTATTAATTATGACTCCATTTAACAGAAAGTCATCAAACTCACAAACATTAATTAATACAACTCTTAAAATATAATTGTACATAAAAGTAAACTAATTACTGTGCATAGGAATTATATATGTTTGGAAATTTTAGACTCTGCCTCCAATCTCCTTCTCACTTCTCACAACCTCTTCAACCCTAATATGGATTGCACCAGTGCAAAATAGTTGTGTCCCACTCAAGATTATCAATACTGTCTCCAATGTCCTCTGCAACCATACAATTAAAAAAAAAAAAAATTAATGTTTTTCAAAACAAAAATTTAAAAATTTTAATGCAAATACATAGAATATCTTACCAAGTTTGAATCAGTCCACCCAATGCTAATCTCTTTACATGCCAACCTGCACGATAATTAATTATAACTAAGCATTATTATTATTATTATTAAAGACTAAAATTATCTAGGTGAGATCTAAACCAAAGTATCAAGAATCTTTATATATATATATATATATATATATATATATATATATATATATATATATATATATATATGGTCAAGTTCCCGTGCGGCCGTGCAATCACTCACCATCAGTTATGCATAAACGCACCACAAGGTGTTTAGAAATGAACCATTAGGTGTGGTGCACTTGTGCATCTAGTTCATGCAGTGTATTTCTGAACACTGTGTCGTGCATATTTGTATACCTAATGGTGAATCTGCACCAACCGCACGAAAAGCATTGTCCGCATTTGAACGAGTATATATGTGTGTGTGTGCGCGTGTGTTGGATCAAATGAGAGCACATCCCAACTAATAACTAATCTTAGCGTTACATCTAAAAAGCCAAAATGGATCAAATCATTTCCTTTAAATGTAGTGGCATTATTGTAATTATTGTCAAATTTACTGTACAACTTTTAACACTATACTGTGTACTTCTGAAGATTTGTTAGAAATAATACACACATTATGTTGTTAAAAAGTGCATAATAAAGTATTAAAAATTGCACGTTTAGCATTAAAAATTGCACTTTGCAAAATGAAAAATGCAAAAGTGCAATATGGTTTAAATTTTACAATTTATGACTGAGTTGTTTGGTTTTATTTGATTTAGGGTTCACTTTTTACTGCTTAAGGTTTAACATTTACGATTTAGGTTCAAAATTTATTTTCTTTCGTTGATATCTTTAAAAGTTATCTAGAAATGCACATTATGTTGTTAAAAAGTGCATGTATAGTATAGTGTTAAAAAGTTGCACAGTAAAATTAGTGATAATTACAATAATGTCACTGTGTTTTATTAAGTTAGGAATAATTACAAAAATGTTATCCCACTTTTAAAATAGAAAATTAATCTGATCCGTGTTGTTTTTACATAGAATTTTTAGCATATATATATATATATATATATATATATATATATATATATATATTCCAGTGAGAATGAACCATGCCCCAGGTCTCCCAATTGCAATAACCTCATAATTCACTATTGTTGGAGTAACATTTTAGAGTGTCGGGACAAGTGTCAATAATCTAATTACCCTCAAGGTTTTTGTTGCTAGGCTAAAGTCTTAGGTTTATCATTATCTAATATTAAATTGATCAACCTTGTATAGTGTGGTACATTAAGAAATCATTACGAAAAATACTTGATATAGTTACATATGGTATACATTATCATCATGCACAAAATTTGTTATTAATTAATATATGAAATTGAATTTGGAGAGTATGCTTACCCCATTGCAAGTAGTGTGAGTAGCCAAGATATAAGGGAAGATGCAGCTGCTGCATGTTGGCTAGCTGAATCCCACTGAGCTAGATTATGGAGGCCATTGAGGGAGGTGATGAACCCCACGATTCCAGCAAGGAGTGAGTAAATGATCACAAAACCTGTAGCCAAGTTGCCAAAGGGGAAGTAGATTGGGAATATTCTGGCTGGCATTGGCAATACTGATGCTGCAACTCACAAAACGACACCGTTTTAGTACTTACACCCATAGCAGTCAAATCCTTCTTAAAGCATATTTTATATTGTCACAACACAATCAATCATTATGTTGTGGAAATGCGCCTTGCAAGGTGGACACGGTTCTATGTTCATAATTATTGAACTATATATATACATATGTTCATAATTATAAATCTATATATTCTTAATTTTTGAACTTCATATTCATAATTATTGAACTCTATATTCGCAATTACAGAACTATATGTTCATAATTATGTTCACAACTCTATATTCATAATTATATAACTATATGTTCATAATTTTTGAACTATATATTCATAATTATGAACAATTTTGAAACCGTGTCCACCTTGCACCACGACATTATTTGCCCAACACAATTATTATCATGGTTCATTAATTATAAAATATCAAATTATCAATAGTCTATTTTACTAGCATTTTCAATAACCAATTGTTGTGCGGAGACCGGTAAACGCCAAGTCTAACACCCGATGGCTGGGGATTGTTTGGCTGAGGCCGATAACGACCAAGTCCATGCCAGCACTCAGCGTCTTGAAAATGTGTGGCAGTATAAAGAAATAAAGTTATGTATTCGCTACAAGCTAGCTATATAACTTTTGGCCTAAGTAGTAAGTGTTTGATCATATCCTAACACAAATAATATGCCATTTTCTTGTATTTGTTGTGAAAAGACATCAAGAAAAAACATACCTGTCTCGCGGGATTTCACAATCCCATGATTAACCGCCCATGAAGCGGCCACAATGACAATGAAATACAGTATGGTATTAATGGATAAAAGCATGCATGAAACACCTTTGCTTGCCATGCTCTCTGATCTGATCTGATGTTTTTGAGACAACCTAAGGGAAAAATAACTACAATAATGCTTTAATTTGCAGCTTTCTTGAGGTTTTGGAGAGATCAGAAAGGTATATAAAGAGAGAATGGGTACGGTTCTATTCTTTGCCCAAGAAAACATACCTTTGTTTGAAGCATTCTTTGTGGTTTTTTCAATTAAACAAAAATCTGTTTCTTTAGTTCAAAGTAATGGCTGGAATTGGATTCTTTTAGAACAGTTTTTAGTTTGCATCATGAAGAGGAAAGGAATCCTATTGGCCTCACCAAGATGTAAAGTTAATTTTAATTTTAGTAAATTTAAAAATGCTTGAATTATTACGAAAAAACATATTTGGAGGAACCCATACAATTAGTCAATTACCAAGTAAATTTTGGACACCTACATTATCACTCAAATAAAAGTAACTTATTTAAAGTAGCGAACAGTTGTCTATCACTTTATTGTGTCTAATACACTGCCCCTTTCGCGCAATGTAAAATGCACTTCCCTACAGTGGCAGGCAGAACGAGGGGGTCAAGGAGGTCAACTGACCCTCCTCCCTCTTGCAACCCCCTACCCCCACCCACCATCATTATTTTTTTTTTACATCTTTAATTTTCTTCCAAATAACATCTTCCAATTTTTTTTTTTTAAAGTTATGCTATATATTTTCTATTTATATGCATTGTATAGTCACCACTAGAATTTTTTTTTTTTTTTTTTTGAAAACACCACTAGAATTTAATTTAATTTTGTTGTTATTTTAGAATTAAATTTAGGTTATGTTCATGAAAGCTTTTCATAATTTAATTATCAAACCGTTCATTTAGATGATGGTTGGTAGGGTAAATTATTTTTGGTATCACAATGTTAAATTCTAGAGATCTAACTAGTAAATATTCGATCTTCATTTGGATTTAAATATTTTAGATTGATAAGGATTTTTAAGGTTCCCTTACTTTATTGTTTGAAAATAGAATAAATGATGTTACTAATCACACAATCTTAATAGTGTATATGTTGTTCCACCATTGTTAAAACTTGTGAACTAATTATTATAATGGCCTATTAGAGATTTTATATTTATTAATCCTTACTTGCTTTCAAAATATAAATTTCTTGATTCCAAACTCTAAAATTCTGTATTATTATTTATTAGAAAATATGTAACTACATAAAACATTTAGGTTAATAGAAAAAAAAAAATGATAGTTAGATTATTCATTATTATATTTTTTAGTTCCACCATTACTTACTATAATGTATCTTCATATTTGTAAATTTCTTTGGTAGGATGAAATTATATTCTTATTCCCCTATCAAACTCCATAAAATTATAATTTCATGATTTGGTTAGAGGGAATTGCAATTCCCTTCAACTATAGAATTTGTGGAATTGCAATTCAATGGCAAAGGACTATTTTACCCTTATTCTTATTATTATATTATTATTATACAATGACATTTTAGTCTTTATTCACTTCTTCCCTTTCAATTCCACATCATTATATTCATGTCTACCAAAGTAACCAAACAATGTAATTTAAAATTCCACTTTACTCTTTTACCCATAATTCCATCCTCTCAACCAATGTTATTGGTCAAGGATTCTAAACTGAAAAGTAAAAATATTGTCAAATAGATGTGTACAAACTACAAAGAAAAGCATCATAGACTTAATTATTATTAATAAAACTCCAGCAAATTAAAGAAAATGTTCAAACTGAAGTGTCCAAAATATTCATGAAGACAACTTGATTCCAACATCACCTTGTGTCTAAGGAACCATTTGTAAGCACAGCCAAGTGTGTTTTTAAGGAGTAAATAGGTTCCTTATTTGCACAAAGGAATCAAAGAAAAGAGCACCACCAGGTTTCCTTCACTAATATAATAAATCAATCTATTGATGATTCACTTCAAAGTTCAACCCCTTTCAGACCTTCAATGCCAGTTTTTGGGCAGCAAGAGCTTCGGCCTCGAGTGTGGGCTGCCACAGTAGGGTAGTTTCAGCAAGCAACGCGGTCACCACATAGGGATCCATGTTTGAAGCAGGGCGTCGATCCTCCAAATACCCTATCAAACAAAACCAAAGGAATAGCACAAAGCATCGCCTCTATTAGTGTCAATACAAGTGTTTGATGAAGAACGAACGAACGAACGAACATCCCTCTTTCATACAATGGCAATAAGTCATTTCAACGAGTCCCACATTGAAAAAATAAGAGAGAACATATATTTGGTTTATAAGGCCATCAGTTAGACTAGTTAATTGATTGGATTCAATCTTTTAGTGTGGTTTGGCCCATGTGCATTATAGCAGATCTCTACACATCATTTAGAGTCATACCTTTGCCACTCTTCTCGGTATCACGGCCCACACGAATTGAACAACCCCGGTTAGCAACTCCCTGCACATCAATCTCGAGCAAATCAACAAGCAACCAAAGAGAAATCTCAATTTCCAACAAATACCCTATTTCTAAAGAACATCAAGGAGTGAGTATGTTAGAGACGACGAGATACCCAAGAAAATGTGTTGATGCTGGCAGTTTCATGCTTTCCCGTCAACCTTCTCTCATTTCCTTCTCCATAAGCGCTGATGTGATCCCGATGGCGAAGCGAGAGATTCAGAATTGCTTTCTTGATAACTTCAAAGCCCCCTTCCTCTCTCATACTCTTGGTACTGAGTGTAGGAATAATTCATAACATAGTTTAACATCTTCAGACCTAATATCAAATGGCTCCACACGTATAAATTACTAAATATCATACGCATCTATATATATGTACCTGTAATTGGTGTGGCACCCAGCACCATTCCAGTCACCCTGTCAATTCAAATTGCAAAAGGATCAAAATCACCTAACAGTTTTGTACTTTTGTGAAGGGAGAGGGGGTTGAATTTCACCGTAGCAATTAAACTACCTCTATAGGCTTTGGATCAAGTGTGAGAACAACTCCAGCTTGTTCAGTAATTCTCTATAAAAGCATTGAAGACGTACAATAATTAGTATACCAAACAATTGGCTTAGAAGCAAGCATATAGCAAATGTTCATATTAAAACCATAAAACACTTATAGTGCAATGGTCAAGCAACAACTTTTTATTTTTTATGTTTCAATTTGTGTATGAAACATGCTATGTTGCTCAACACCTGAGTAAAATAGAATCATAAAGTCTTGAGGATAGTGTAACATTTGCAAGAATCCAAAGAATGTTCTGCCAAATATACCACATCAGGCTATAGAACGAGGGTGCTATGTTACCTCAAGGATGTATCTAGCACACCAAATATGATCTCCAGCCTCAATCCCGACGCTAGGGCCTACTTGGAATTCCCACTGTGTCAAAGGTATTTTCGGTCAATGTGTTACCAAAAAGGACCCGGAACTGTTGATCAGGTTTTTAAACAAGGGGCAGGTAAAGAGAAGAATATCACCTGACCAGGCATGACCTCCCCGTTGGTGCCACTAATGTTAATTCCAGCATATAAGCAGGCCTTGTAGTGAGCATCTGATATGTCACGGCCAAACGACTTGTCTGCTCCGGCACCACAGTAGTAAGGACCCTAAATTTCCCACAAAAAGAACAATATTTAAATATATTCTCCTATTAAAGCTGATTGTGTCGCAACCTTAAATCATAGAATGATGCACGTGAGGACCCATCCTTAGGTGAGGACGTGAGGACTAATCTAGACCATTAAATCAGAACGATGCACAATGAGATTAAAATAAAATGAACAAATCACATGGATTAAGGAAACAAATCCCTTAAAAAATATAAAGTTAGGGGTAAATCAGTCTTATTAGAAGCTGTGCATTATTATACAAATTGTCATGTATTACCTGAGGACCTGGGTAGCCTCCAACAGGCCAACCCAAGGGCCACTTCACATTTTGCTGCAGTAAGGTGTACTCTTGCTCTATGCCATACCTAGTTATCATTTTCCACAGAAGAGGAGAGTAAAAAAAAAAAAAAAGTCCAGAATCATAAAACTAAAAGTGAGATGCTAATAACGACTGGCGAACTATGCTTTAATCCCACTTTAGCTGGGGTTGACAAGTTTATATTCAAATATCAAGAAAAATGTTTAAATTAGTATTGGATAGTATAGATTATTTCATTCAATGTTAAGTGCCAGATTCTTGGATGGCACATAACAATAATTACAGGTATTATTTTGGGAGGAAGGTTTTGATATCATCTTCCATTGTTTGTATTATCTTAAATTTGTATGATACATAGAAAAAGCTAATAGTAAATTTACCATGGCACTTCTGCTACAACTTTTGGGTCGCTAAAAATTTGAGCAGCCTTGTAGCGTTTGTTTGTTGGAATAGGCTCACCAGCTGGCGTGTATGTATCACAGATGACCTATTTCAGCAATGTATGACATAGCATTAGAAGCAGTAAATATTCACATTAGCAGTAGTGAAATGATTGGAATAACACAATTCAAAGGTTATTTATTATACTCACCAAGATGTTGTTACCTCCACGGAATGGGTCCTTAAATATTGCTTGGGGGCTAAAGGAGGATGTCATTACAAGTCTATCCCAAAAGGTAAGGAAATGATAAAAAGAAAAAAAGAAAAGAAAATGGAAATGAGTTTACTATAGAATAACTTCACTGTCTTCTCCAGGTGCTTGCCCGGTACTTGATCCATCGTAGTTCCACTTTGGAAGCTCGGAAGGATGTTGAACTGGTTTTGAAATGGTCTGAGTATTCAAAACTATATAGTTGAGAACTAAGAAGGATTTAATACGTTTACCACTTTCTTTTCAAGTAAAAATAGAAGCAGCATTGCATACTCGTGATTTACTACGCGTGTCAATTCCAGAGCCACCAATCCTGTGCCATTAATGCAAACATGTAAGATCAATTTTTGCATCAAAATATCCAAGTGATTTCTTGGTCACAACATATTAAAAAGGATGTCCAAGTTGTCAACTACCTAACTAATTATAGTGAGAGTTACTAATTATAGTGAGAGTTGTTGCTCTGCACGGGCTATAATAGCCATGGGTCAAACTACACTAAAAGACTGAATCCAATCAATTAGCTAGTCTAGCCATGGGTCAAACTAGACTAAAAGACTGAATCCAATCAATTAGCTAG